AGGTCCAGTTTGTGACAGACCTTGGAGAAGCGCAAAACGAAATCAACGCGCTTACCCGACAGCGCCAGGAAACTCATGACCTGGCGCAAGCGCAAGCAACCGAGATTGCGCGTCTCCAAGGGCAGCTGAGAGCCTATCAAGAAATCCAGCACGCACAACCTGGCCCGGCCGCCATAGAAAAGAAGATCGTCGGTGTCAAAGATCCTGGGGACTTTGACGGAGAACCAGGGAACTTCGCCCCCTGGAAGAGTAGAATGGCGTTGTGGCTCTTCGCCAATGCCAGCGCGCTGCCAACAAACTTTGATAAAACCTCCGCCATTCTCACACGTATGAAGGGGAAGATCCCGGCCAAATGGGCCCAATACCACATCGATCTGTACAGTGGTGGATCTGAACCTTGGCCCACCGAGAAGGACATGTTAAAACTCGTCTCGGAGGCATTCCTCCCAAGCTCAACAAAGGACTGGGCTCGGAAGAAGTTGTTGGGTCTTCGCATGGGAGAAAGAAGGGTGGAAGAGTGGCTGACCGAGTTCTTCATCCTGAAGGAACAAGGCAAGGTGGAAGACGGTCACGCGACAGACTTGCTCATCAAGAATATGAGCAACCCCATTCGAGAAGAAATCTACCGAGTGGGAGGACAACACGAGGCGGACTTCAGAAAACTATATGAAGCAACACGCATCATTGGAGTCCGCATCGAGGAGTACAATATCGCGATCGGGAAGAGGAGGGTCAACTACGAACCGAGGCCATTGACCTTTACGGCAAACCAGAGGGCGCCGCCATACATGGGCGAGCCCATGGAAATCGGGGCGACACAAGCGTCGTCAAGTAGTGGCCCTAGAGGAGGGTGTTTTACCTGCCAAGGCCCGCATTTCGCGCGGGACTGTCCGCAGAGGAAGGGAGGAGGTCAGCCACGGCAGCAGCAGCAACAAGGAAGTCGCCCACAGGGCGCCACGGGATACCAAGCCCGTGCTCTATACGACCCACAAACGGGTCAGCTTATCGCGCAGCCTCAGACAGCAGAGGCACAAGACGGTAGCAGTGCTACCCCATTACGGTGGCAAGCGGCTACAAAGGACATGGACTTCGAGGCCGCTAGGGCCTATTTTAAGGACTATGAATCTTTAAACGGATAAAGAGCTCCGATGAACGGGGTAATTGGAACTCTACGAATTTGCCGAACTGTGTAGCATTGAAAGACACTTCTAATTATAATAGGTACCATGTACTCGGTGAGTGTACGATAGAAGACCCGGAAGCGGACTTAACGTCCCACCAGGGCATGCATACCCAAGGGGGGTCTGAGTTCGCGCAGCGAGAAGTAAGAAGTAGGGGAGTGCCTAGTATTTATCCTCAATCAGACGTCGCCCACGCAACAGTAGGGGCTAGCTCTCAAAAGGAGCTAGATGTCGCTGGGAACGGCTGGCAGCAGCGATCCTGCAGGACCCCCGTACCAGCGGCCAGTCGATGTATGGAGAGTTCCAAGGCCCCCGAAAATGAAAAACCTCGCGAAACTCAGCTCGGCGGTGGGAAATCCGTGCTTAATTCCCCAATAGAAGAAATAAATAAAAATTTAGCTACTATAGACGTTATATCTATTAAATCCCCGCCTGTACAATTGATACGGACTTACAATATGGACAGAGAAATACTTATGCCCGTGACTGTACGACAAGAGAATCGCGAGATAGCGTGTTCCGCGTTACTCGACTCTGGAGCCACAGGGCTATTTATAGATTGGGATTGGGGCAAGAAGCAGGGCTTCAAGTTCACAAAGAAGGAACACCCCATTACGGTATTCAACGTGGATGGATCCAGGAATACATCGGGTAGCATCACACACTCGTTGGAACTTGTGGTCGAGTACAAGGGACACAGAGAAAAGGCGCAGTTTGAAGTAACAAAACTGGGAAAAGTACCCATGATATTAGGGTTCAACTGGCTAGCACACCATAACCCTGAAATCAATTGGGAAACCGGTGACGTCAAAATGTCCCGGTGTCCCCACAACTGCTTCGAATTGTGGCCCGAACCCAAGTGGAGGAAAACGGAGAAAAACTCGGAGATTGATTCTGCCGAAACTATTTACAGAATCATCCGCAGGATCGAGGACAATATAGATACCAAGAAAGCGGAAACACAGGAAGATCCCGCTGCCTTGGTGCCCCCGACCTTACACGAGTACCTATCGGTATTTTCAAAAATCGCATCAGAACGCATGCCAGAGCGAAAAGCATGGGACCATGCCATTGAGCTTATGGATGGCTTTACCGCCAGAAAGGGAAGGCTCATTCCTCTTTCAGAAGAAGAACTAGGAGAGATCCGAGATTTTATCAAAGAAGAATTAGATAAAGGGTACATCCGACCCTCCAAATCTCCACAAACCTCCCCTGTGTTCTTCATCCCCAAGAAAGACGGTAAAAAACGCATGGTGCAAGACTACCGGTATTTAAACAAATGGACGGTCAAAAATAATTATCCAATCCCGTTGATCGGAGATCTCATAGATCGGTTAAAAGGAGCGAAACTGTTCACCAAAATGGATCTACGTTGGGGTTACAACAACGTACGAATCAAAGACGGAGATCAGTGGAAGGCAGCGTTCACCACGCCTCTGGGCTCCTTTGAACCAGAAGTTATGTATTTTGGCTTATGTAATTCGCCTGCTACGTTCCAGAACATGATGAACGATATACTGGGCGATATGGACGATTGTGTAGTAGTATAT